GCCCCTTTTGCAACAATATAACCAAGTTAGAGTTTTGGGTAAGTTACTTTTGCTTGGAGTATCTCTTATTTCATAAGTGTATTTTTGATAAGGATTAATCATACTACTTATGAAATTTGATCTATCAATGCCAAAAGTAATTTTGGATTGTAAAGCCTTGTCAAGTTTAGCTTTGAGAGTTTTTACCTCTCTTTGCAAAATATAACAAGTTTCACATCCAGCCCAATCATGCCAAGAAAACTTGTCATCTTTGCTATCAGTTTATATTTTCTCTACCATAGATGTCTTGAGGGCTTCCAACTCTTTTTCGGAATTGGACATTTTTTACTCAAGGTATGAAAAAAAATTCTTGTTTGAGGCTAATCATTTAAAATCTTCTTTAGCCTCATTTTGTAGACTATCAAAAGCTCTTTGCAATTCTATGTGAGATATCTTATCAATATGATCATATTTAGAGTGACTTACATTCCTTTTCTTCTTTTGATGAGCCACGAGACAAAGGTTGATTGTTTCTTCTTCGTCACTAGTGTCACTTTTGCTTGAAGCTTCACTATCACTATCCCAAGTAATGTATGCTCTTCTAGCTTTGTTAGGTCTATTTTGGAATTTGTCTTTTCCTTTGTCTTTCTTGAGCAATGGGTAATCCGGTTTGTAGTGACCGGGTTTTCCGCAGTTGAAACATGATCCTCTTGATTTAGATTTTTTACCTTCATCTTGTCTTGAAGGTTTTGATTGGCTTCTATAATTTATGAGATTTTTGTCCGAGTTTTGGACTTTATTCTTTCGGAGATATCTATGATATTTTCTCACAAACAACCTCATGTCTTCACTTGAACTTTCATCATCATTACTAGAATCACTCACACATGAGTTATTGGTGGAGGACTTTGAGCTTGAAGCCTTTAATGCAATATACTTCTTTTCCGTGTCTTTTGGTTTTTCTTTCTTTTCCTTTTTCTCGTGTTTGTTGAGATTTATGAGCTTTTGCTCATGCTCTTGAAGCTTCTCAAACAATGTTGTTATGTCAAGTGTAGCTAGATTGTTGGCTTCCTTGATTGCTATAACTTTAGGTTGTCATTCCCTATTAAGACATCTCAAAATTTTGTTAGTAGCAACAACATTGGGAGTAACATAACCAAGAGTGTGTAAGCGATTGATTATATGATAAAATATCTTTTACATACCCGCAATGGTTTCTCCATGATTCATGTGAAAGAGATCAAATTCTTGAGTCAATGTATTGATTCTAGAAAGTTTAACATCATTTTCCCCCTCATGGGCAATTTGTAGAGCATCCCACATTGCCTTAGCAGTAGCACAATGTGAAACTCTAAAATACTCATCAACACCTAAAGATGCAATAAGCATATTTCTACCTTTCCAATCATAGCTATACTTTTTCTCATTTTCCTCATCCCATAGTGCTTCCAGTTTGGGTATGATGACGTTATCCGCATTGGTCATGGTTATTTGTATAAGACATCCATGATAGCTTTTCATATCTTTCTATTACCAGAGTTAATATGCATACACATACAATCTTTCCAATAGCTATAGGTTTCACCGGTGAAAATGGGAGTTCTCGTATAAGCCTCTTTTGGATTGTTCTCCATATTCTACAAAGTAATATGCGAAGCACTAGATAAATTGGTGCTCTGACACCATCTATTAGATGATGTGATCGATCTAGAAGGGGAGTTGAATAGATCATTTAAAAAATTATTTGCGCTTTTTAAAATTGTTTTTCAAAAATATATGCGAAAGCTCCCGGAATCTCCAATTGTCCAAACGGTCCTCTATTGAAAATATCGGATATGCGTAACCGTATGGGATAGGATGATAAAGTAAGAATCAATATGTTTTACTCAATTGGTCAATCACTTAAGCATCCTCAATGAGTATGAATTATTTCCAATGAGTTTATTAAGATAAAGCTAAACACAATGAATAATTTGTGGATGAATTAATTTGTCAAACACCTTTTGTGCAAAGCACTTTAGATTTGATTTTACTAAATTGTAGCGGTGAGTTTTCTTAGGTATCAATCAAAGGATTATTACCAATATTGTGAAATGATCTCAACACACCACAATTTCAGTACAAGCAAATTCGACAATTTAATTCCCACAAATTATAGTAGTCAAGTATGAAAGTAAAGAAAAAGAAGAAGAACACACGGTTTGTTAAGGAAGTTCCCCTTGTCGTCCTCGCATAGGGTATGTGTGCCCCAAATTCTAGAATCTATAATTGAGATATTTGATATTAAGATGCAAATGTTACAAGAGAAGAGATGGTTCACAATACAAACAAACCAATGTTACTGGTGTAACGGTCTTCTTCCCTTTCCTTGGTTTGAGCCAAACCAAATGCAAATTCTTCGAACAAACCTCTAGTTACCGCTACTTGATTTGCACGAACTCTTGTTCTGCAATACTTTCACTCGGTTGATTTCGATCACAAGAAATTTGACCCCAAATCTTCCTTCAAAATCCTCTGATTACCGCTACTTGATTAAGCAAACCCACCGTTTCCTAATCCTTTCACTCGGCTGAATTCGATGAAGCAAAGACTTGTGCAAAAACTCCCGCACCAATTGGAATCTTGGAGGAGAAAATCCTAACGATTTTATTCAAGAACAATCCACAATTGCTCAACCCAAATTTGAATTGAATCTTTGATTTGAACGTTATCACCACAGTACTTTTCTTGAATCAACAACCATGATTATGTGTAGATGTTGATTTTTGAGAAGAGAGGATGAAGATGGTGAGCACTATGTGTATCTTTCACTAATTCTTGTGAACTACTCAAAAGGAATCAAAATTTTATTTATATGTGTTAGTAAAATAAATAATATTTGAGAAAGAAAGAAAATAAGACAAACAAAATTTTGAGTATGTTAAGTGAGCGGTCGACCGCTCCAGAGGATTGGGTCGGCGCAACATAACCCGTGCCTAAGAGATGAGCCAAACAACTTGAATGCGTCGACCGCACCAGGGGTTGCATCGACACAACCTTCAATTTTCTTGACCATCAGGTTGAGTCGACCAAGGGATCGACGCAACACAACCCGGGAGAAGCACAAAGCTTTAAGTCGACCGGAGCTAGTTTGCGTCGACGTAGGCTTCATTTTTCTTGCCTAAAAGGGTACTTGCATCTCATACTTTGTCCCAAGTATATTTTATGTAGCACACATGTCATTGAAGATAGGAGAGATTTTGACATCATGAAAACATGAATCTTTCCCTCACACTTCTCACATTTTTGGTCATGTGATACTTACAAAGTAATGTAGAAGAAGTAGGAAACATCATTGCAATCGAATTCATCAGTGCAGTGTCACGATCAGTGATTATGACTCGTGGTATATTTTCTTGGTCCTTCAACATAGTCTTGCATATTTTCAAACTTCGTGTAACTTCCTCTTTTTCGAATACCAAAAATGCGAAATCCATTGGTCATCTCCGTAGAAGTGACACCAATAATTTTCAAGAGTGAAAGTCTATACTTGTTTGTTTTGTATGTTGAGTCAATTATGAGCACAAATGAAAAGGTGTTGAACAACCTAACGGAATCAGGATGACTCTAAAATATGTCTCAAATGGTGACTTTATCATCACAAATTATATACCTCAAAACATAGTCGTCATCTTCCAAAAGCTTCAACAGTTGTTGTATCTCCGACTCAACATTCATTTTTCAACTTCAAACTTGGATTAATGCAAGGAATGAGGAATGCAATGAGTGATCTTTACCTATAATTTCAGCTTGTTTTGCTCTACTTGAAGTGATGAAAAAGAGAGAGAAAATTCAAAGGTTTTGCAATGGAGAAGCTTTTTTAGCACGAAGAAGAAGCTAATGCAAGGTGGTGTTTTATCAACTTTTCTGTTGAACATTTTCGAAAATACATCTCCAAAAATATCACTGAACTATTTTTAATCAGTTACATGAATAACAAAATCCCATAATTAAGTACATGGGATATTTCAAATATGCAACTCCAATTACATCCAAAAGATACATCTCTGAATTATTTATAAATAAAAAATTAATGAAATTCAGAAAGGAGAGAATTTGAGTGGTTAGGGGACATCTCCGGACACCTAGAAGACAATTTTGTATTTTCAAAGATATGATATGCTCATGTAAAGGTGGAATCAACATTTCCCAAAATTGAAGTGACAACGAGTTACCTTTTCAAGAGATTAAAATGGTGAGTTTTCCTTGATAAAAATATTAATCAAATCTCAGTTAAGAAAAGGTAGACGTTCTTTCATTGAAAAGATACTTGTCATTAGATAACTTATTAAAAATTAGAAAAATGAGAAGCACAAACTATTTTGCTTATCTTTATTTATTTTGTCCTATTACCTCTTCATTTACATTTCAGTGCAATTTCATACAATATTTTGTAATCTTCAATATAAATAAAGTAAATACATGTTCAGTTACTCAAAAAGTTTTCTTTTTATTAATCAATATTTGGCAAAAAAATTAGAAGGATAATAACCGAACTTGATTTCTGCCAATGAACAACTAGCTGATTGGATTTGAATTATTATTTTTATGACACTAGTTAAAAGAAATCATATACGCGAACAGAATATTAGTTTAAGAGTCGGTAGATGTTCTATTCAGTAGGAGACGGAACAAACAATTTATCAATATGCCATAGAACACAAACTGCAATTATGGTACATTTGTTTTCCTAAAATTAATAAATTGGTGAAAAAAACAAAATCAAACCACAAGGGTTTTCTGCACAATCCGCCAGAGGTTAGAAGATAATCAACAATGGAATAATTCTATGGAATGCTGCCTTGACTAAACACTCTAAATCAGCAACTGAACAAACTAACACTCATCACCTAATAAACAAGAAAAGGCAGCATTGCCGGCCTAACCTCTGAAATCAGGAATCTCTATTGCAAACCAGTCCCAACATGAAATATAGTATAAATGCCCTCCTATTTACTCCCCATGTTGATTATAACCTATAACTATGAGTCCACCATTTCATCTTGCAATTCAATTGGAGCGATAAGTCCTGGAATAGAAAGCATTCTTTGTCGTTCTCTCTCTCTCTGAGCTGCAGCCTCTTCAGCATAAAGATCTTTGTTATCCTGCCATATAGAGAGAGAGAGAACAAGTTAACAAACTTTAGGGTGCTCAAATATAGTATGTTCCAATATCATCACGCTATTGTCAGAGTGTTACTTCCTCTTTTTTCAAAATGTTGTTTCCTTGAATGACCAAAGAAGGTAAAAAAACACTACTAGAAAAAAGCATTACCTGAGCTGAAAACTCTTTTGACTGTATAAGAAAATCTCGTATGTGAGTTTTGAATGTGGAGAGATCATTTGTGGACTTAAAGAGTTCATTAACAAATTGGGTAACCTGCAAAATTCTTTACATTAGTCATCTTCAGGCAAAGGAGGGGGCTAAATTTTCATTGTTTCTCCCCAATTACCTCCGCATTAGTCATGTTGGGAAATGATGTGCTTAAAAGTTTTATCGTGAACTCGCGTACAAAATCAGCATTACTTGGGTATGGATATGGATTTGTAGCAGCATCCCATAGAGGCTCAGTCAGGGCACCAGATTCAGCCTGAAATACACCAAATTTGTTATTAAACATTTTCTCACAAGTAAAGGAAATTAAAAACAGGATTTAGACAGTACCAGACAAAATAAATGTTGAAGCACCAAGACATGCAATTTGAACCCAGGCTTATGAAAAGTGTCTGTCAAGACAGCAAATATCTCTTGTTCGATTGTCAAAAAATATGTCCGATAAAACTGATTGCAGAACTCCGAAGCCTGTTGTTCATAGACATTCAACCAGCATCCCAAAAGATATAAAAAAATAAAGATAATATATTAAGAATATGAGAGAAGTAGAATCAGGGAGAGGGAATTTTTGAAAGTTTAAGAGCGAGAGTTCTTGAGAAAACATATATATACACGAAGATCACACCTGAAATTTGTTCAGCATCTCCAACAACAGGTTGAGCCCAGTTTCAGCAATGTTTCTTTCTGTATGCCGAAATGCCCATATGATTGAATCCATAACAAACTTCAGTTGCTGACGTATATTACAAACATCAGTTAAAGATAGCAAATTTTAAAAGTCATGGTCAACATCACATGAGGACAAATAAATTGATGTGCTATTCGTTTATCATGCAAGAGAAGAGCAAGAAATAAAACCTGACTTGACAAGCAGATCAACGCAGGGAAACAATGAGTAGCTATGGCGCGTAGTAAAGAGAAAAAATTTAGCCTGTGCTCTGGGTAATCTTCAAAGTTTTTCGTAATCATCTGTAACGGAATAAAAGGATAAATATAGTTCAGTTGATATTCCACTGCAGGAATCCAACAATTTTACATCGTCGGATATTTCAAAACTGAAAATCAGCGCAAGGGCCACTATCAAAATGATTGTCATCTAGATTACTCAAACCTAGCCAAATGACAATAACAATTACTTACTTCTAGTGTGCACTGGAAAACAGCTTCAAATATGTGAGGGATGTCTTCAATCATTGAACCTTTATATCTACAAGTATGAGATAGAAATGAGTGACTTATAATTAAAACAGCTAGTATTAATACACTTCCCAGAGATGTTTTCGGTCAGGGGTAACCATCAGGAAGTAAGATAAAAACAAGTGTAGTGCCTATATCAATTATAAATGAAAACAAAAAAATTGGGACAGAAAATTTACATACTTATTTATAATTGTGGCAAAAAGAGACAAAACCTCTGATTCCCTTGCATCCGGTACATTCCTAGCATAATCTCCCAGAACAGGATCCATCATTGGTGGCACAAATTGTTTTCCAATTTGTGGTTGATCTTCAGCCTTGTCTAAGAATGTCTCGATCAGTTTAAGTATCTCCCTCTTAACCGAACTGCGTCAAAAAGAACACTTACAGAATCAGTACTAATTTGTGATCCAGGTAGAAAAATAATACTAACATATTCATAATTAACCCTTACCGCAAAAGTTTAACATATGAGGTTCTAGATGCAAAAGGTCCCCCTTCTGCAATACTTTTTGAGATAAGTTCGCTATACATCCTGTTGCATGGAAAACATACATGGGATTTAATATTCACTGAAACAAAATATAACCTTGACAAATTATTTACTGCTAAAACTAAGACTTAGAAGCAAACAGAAGATACCTACCTGTACACGTTCAACATGTCCAAAAATATCAATGTGATTTGGGGCAGGAAATATGTTCCTAAAGAAGATGCAACGCTTGTATTCGTCTGCAATTACGAAGTGACATCAATATCAAAGCTTATTATCATATTAGGAGATAAAACAGAGAAAAACTACAGACCATGGATAAAAATAATTAAGGAAATACAAAATTAATCGTGTAACCAAAAAATGTAAAACGTTTTGAAAATAGTTGCTTCATGTCATGGTACTTGAGCCTCTACGAAACAGGGATTTTGATATTATGAGGTGCTTCCACATTGAGTAGTAAGGAATGGTGGAGTAAATATGTGGCTTGGTCTATCTCCCTTGATAGGTAGCTATTAATTGAGAGGGTTCTCAAAGTGCTTGAATACTTATCAATTGGTATAAGTCTGGCTGACAGTGACTCCAAAAGGGCCACCCACGAATGGGGTGACCGAAAAGATTGAGTACATCACCGTCGAGTGCAACCTCCGGGTTGTTCGCTCTGAATAGTGGTGCTATGATAGAGACCTGGGTATTATGAGGTGCCTGAGCCCACATCAAGTAATATGGAATGCCCGGGGAGCCTTTGAGGGGCTTGACTCTTCCCCCCTCGATAGCTAATTTTAAGGAAGACTTTCCCAAGAGAATTGGGTATTGTGGGATGCCCATGTCCCACGTCAGTAATATGGGATGTTTGGTGGAGCATTTAAGCAGTTTGATTCTTCCCCCTGATAGCTAACTTAAGGAAGGATTCATCGAGTGCTTAAATAATTATCATTGTGACCAAATAGTCTAGAGTTCATTCAGTGTCACCCATATTATTTTAATAAAAGCTGAAATTTCAGAATAAGACCCACATTCTCTGCACTTTACGTCCAAAAAATTCTAGCAAGGGATGTGCTAGGTGTGTAATATTAAACTATTCAGGAATGTTCACTGGATAGAATACACTATCAGAATAAATGATTCGCGACAATATCACTTGGACTGCAAAGCTTAGTAGAAACCTATTTCTGTTATTTTACATTTACTAATAGTTCAGGAAAACAATAGAAACATTATAGAAACCTAATGTGTAGACATGAATGTCGAACTTTATAGAGTAAAGATCAAACAACAAATCAAGGAAATAACATTTACAGATAACAGAAACATGTATAACTTATACTTCAAATGGTCTTCAAACATGAAAAAATGAAATATATCAAAGGGCATATAGCACGCACAATCACACTAAAAATAACGACAAAGCTATACCTGCAATATATTAAGCACAGTTCGGATTACATCTTGATCCTTAAGGAAATCAACATTTTGACGTGCCTGTCCAATAATTTCCAGCCATTTCTGCAGAGGAAGATTATTGAGATATATAACATTATAACACTTGGATTACTACAAAGAATGTGGCATTCATTAACCTAACATTAAAAGGATATTTGTAATAATTATATGGCTACTCTAGAAAGAAAAGAACCTGATATGGAAGTATCATCAACCGCTGAAGATATTCATCTCTCTTCTGTGAATCAGACTCTGCTTGAATCATGCCGCCAACCTACAAAAGGATATGGGCAACAAAAGTATTAAGATACAGTATAGTACTAAAAATTACAACAACAAAATTTGAGCTAAAAAGAGAGAAAGATTGATACAGATTCATAGAAAGTGTGTATTTGATGGGGTTCAAGATCTGCAATTGTAGTTGGAAGACCAGATAAGAGTTCAGACACAAATGGCTCATTCTCCCCAACCTGAAATAATGACCGCAGCTATTAGCCTATTATGTTTATTTTTTTTAAAATATCAAGAGCTGAATATGTACCTAAGAGACCACAAAAGTCTCCTTTGGGAGAATAACAAATAAGGAAGAGTAGCCCATTTTACCTGGGTAATTACAAACTTTCGCCTACACTTTTGGACTATTTTCAAAAATGTATCACAGGCCATATCCTGATACAGATATACATGAAACAATAACAAAATTAAGCTTAAATAATTCCAAGGAGAAGATGTTTTCTATACATAAGAAAATATTTTGAACATCAAGAATGTATGTATAAATTATTTAAATATGACACATACTTCAAGATATACATGGATGTGGATAATCTAATGCAGTACCACGCCATAAATAAGACTATATCAATTTATGGCACAGATATATCAATTTATAAAGAGAAAAACGAAACTAGAGACAAACAAGATCCTGAAAAATTAACTGTTTTTTAAAAAGATTTACGATTTGTTTCTTTGAGATGACTTATATAAATTAACTCAGAAGCAAACATGAAGTATTGAGATAACAGACATGTAGAGACTGGAGGGAAACCTAAAGGAAGAAAATAATAACCTGAACTCCGGGATGTATTTCATGCATAAACTCAAACAACTTATTCACGACAGTTTTTAGAAACTTCCAATGAGCTCTTAAAAACCGCGGATACTGCCCTACAACATACCTACCAACAGAGAAGACTATTATTCAACAAAGAAACAAAAACTTCGACAAATAGCACATGAAAACAAACAAATCTTACATGATATTACTTGCAATAACAGCTTTGTTATCTTTGCCTTTTGTTATTTCACAAAGATTTAATAAATCACGAATGACCAAAACCAAAAATCGGTTTTCCTGCAACAAAGGCAAGATTTGATCATTTGAGCTATAGATGCTAAAAACTAAATATTATATCCAATAAAAGAATCTACAAGAGAAATACTGATATTAAACAAATTTAAGCATTTGGAAAATGGATGTTATACATGTAGGAATCAGAAAAAAGATCGGATAAAATTGAGTTGCATGCACACAAATTTAAGTTTAGGAAACAGCCATTTAGAGTTCATGCTAAATGTAAGAAAAAGAAATATTGAAGACATCAGGACACCATAATAAGTCAGTAACAGAAATACCTACAGCCAAAACTAAATTTAATAATCCCTTATGTGAAATTCACCAATTAAATAATTGCACCAAGTTCACTGAAAATCTGCTAACTTGCAAAGTAGCGGGATCAAAGTCATGTCAGACTAATCCTATGTCACCAACTACTATTTTTCACAGTCAAGGGTAGAATTGAGAAACTGTTTGTGTCAATCATACTTTCACCAGCATCATCAGTTCAAAAATCAAAATAGCAGCACTATATCTGTTACTACATGTCGCAATAGGTGGCTGCTGTGGAGACTCTTTCATGCTGCAACAGTCGAAACAAAAATTGCAGCCAATGTATCAGGATAACGTGGCCATACTCTCTAGCTAAACTGGGGTTTATCCATACATTTGGCCACCAATTTCCGAGTCTTCAATCCAATTTTCTGGATGATCACATATTTCTTTTTTGAAATATTTGTCAATCAGTCACGCAAAAAAACTGACCTGTCTGTATTAAACGCTATTGTATGATGATTAGACCCAGTGACCGATTCCTCTCTTTCTCACTCCCTCTCCCACATTTCTTTTTCCACAGTTTTCTGTTTTTTTTTCTTGTGTCATGCTCGTCTTCTTCCTCCTTGGTTCACATTCTCCTAGTTATTAATCAATGTGTTCAGGTATTTTCTGCTAAATTCATAATCTTGACATTTTCTTTCTACTCTATTCTTGCGTTTATCATTGCACTTCACAATCGCGGTGATTATGTCTTAAATTGTTGGTGTTTGTAGATTTAAACTATAACTTCAGGATAAAAATTTCACCAGGAAACAGAGGGGCTACCGGTAAGCATGGTGTAGGGTTAATATGCTCTAATTGAAAGAGACAGAATGAGAGAAAACAAGAGGCATTTGGTGAAACCATGTGTTTAGACTGCACCACAGAAATTCTATTATATAGGCAATAATACAGTAGAGTACTAATTACAACGGATTATGCTAAGAAATAGTCTACGGAATATGCTATCCTATACGCTAGAGTATATTTACATACCATTCCTATAATAATGTTTTAATGTTAAATATTAACAATTATGAATATCTTAATATTGAGAAAAACAACAATCTATTGTTGAATGTTTATGTGCAGATTCCAATCATCCCACTATCCATACACATAATGACATGGGATTTATAACAAGGATTCAGACAAGGTATGCAATACCTGTCCTGAACATATATTTACATAACATTCTTCCGGTTAATACCAGTATCACAAATCAAGTAGAGCAATAAAAGAAAAATGGATTAGAAACATTCTATAATTTCTCTTAATATGTTGGAACCAATAGTCTAATAGTAATAGAAGTAATGGAAAATAGGAGTTTGCTGAACAATGCAAATTGGTTTATTTGTAATACCTGTTCTTCTATCATGGAACCCGAGATAGATCCTATTGCCCAGCACAATGTGTTCAAAGTGTTCCATGTCAAATCTTTATCACTTAGTTGCTTATTTAATTTTCCAAGCATCTGTACATTACAATACACTAGACCATTACATTAAGGAGTGCTATTTATAAAGGCACACAAATGTAGCAATTTCATAACAATTTATAGGTATATCATACATATAACTTGAAATGAAACATATTTGTGTAACACTAACTAAATCTCAGTCAAGCTTAATAATTTTATTGTTAAAGAACAATGAGACAAATTCCCATCCTAATTTGACCATTAGATGAAAATTTATTATAAAAAAAATGCCCGTAAACAATATAAGTCTCCATATAATAAAATTTAAAATGCATACAAAAGAAGCATCACCATGACTTCTCATTTCCCTGACAGAACAAGATAAGATCAGTTCTTTCTCATTCACATACCTGCTTTTCAGTATCCTGATGATCCAGATGTGCCAAGTAAATAAGAGTTTCCCTCATAATCTGTATAATGATAAAACTTGGATTAGTACAAATTGCTTGAGAAAGAACCGACAAATCTAATCTATAGAGATATCTTAGAATGTGTGGGTTGGGCCTAACTCAACCCTACAAAACCGACTTGTAAGGTGAGGATTGTCCCCCCTTATAAACACATGTTCAGGCCATATATTATCCGATGTGGGACTCTTAACACCCCCTCTCACGACCAGGAATTGCGTCTGGGCGTCTGGAGCGTGGAATTAAATGGCGGGTGGTCCAATGGATCTTAGATGAGGTTCTGCTACCATCTTAGAATGTGTGGGTTGGGCCTAACTCAACCCTACAAAGCCGACTTGTAAGGTGAGGATTGTCCCCCCTTATAAACACATGTTCAGGCCATATATTGTCTGATGTGGAACTCTTAACAAGATATTTACATAGGATAGAAGAAAATAATTCAAATTCAAACAATATATGTGTACTAACATTATTTAACCTAGAAATGTCTCATTTAATTTGTATAAATCATCGACTAAAATACAATATTCAGATAAAAATGGCTTCAAAAACTGATTGGGTCCATCTATATGTTAATACTTAATACTAGTCAGATTTAGCCTTACTTACTTTGTACTGAACAAGAACATCACTGTCTTTCATGGTTTCACGGACTATATTCCCATTTTCATCTTCAACAATGAGAACCTCTTCTGGTTTAGCCATACGACAGATCATAAGCATCCTCAACTTAGACATAGGACCAGCATAAAGCTGTCGGCGCTGAAGAGGCTGGCCATCAACCATACCAGGAGGCGTTACTGACACCTGTTAATTCCATTACGAATATAGACCAATGTCATTCTAAGAAAGATGAAAATAGTACATCAGGATCACAAAAGATATTCAGACTAAAATATCTACATGATCAGCCCAAATATAATGTTACAAGATATACTGAAGCTCCTAGAAAACAAAAAACAAAAAAACTTTATAAAATACTGCAAAGTTTAGTTCCTAGGAACATAATTGAATACCATTTTTACACAATGTATATCCCAAAATCATGATTGCTGGCTTAAGACCTACTGGTCCAAACTCTATCTTGCAAACTCACCTTACAATAGTAATCAAATAAATTTAAAAAAATAAGGAAAAATTGTGTATACAAAACAAACAATATGGAAAAATTGCAACGGGTTGCTCATATTTTTATGTAATAAATTTAGTAAGACAAAGAGAATAGAGTTAAGAGGGATACAAGGATAAGAAAAATTCATTAAAAAGGGGGGAGAAGTAAAAAACAAAAAACAAAACACGTCAAAATATAGTGAATGATGACAGTAATAACTGCCAAGTTACAAGCAAATGATGACGAACAGTGAACATTCAACACAACAGCAGCATCAACTCTCAATGTTCCATGTGAATATATAACTACACCAAGTGCACTAATGGAAAGAATCCTATTTTACTACACATAAGTGTATTCGTGGAGGAAAAGAAATAGTTGGATTCTAACCATCAAAGAACAGAGATTCGATGCATCATTATTAGTGTACCTGAGATCCCATCATGTTTGTGGCGGCTGCAGCAGAATTCTCCAAGCTACGGTTTGGCTGAAAAAGCTCTGACACCAAGATATTCCAATAGTCCAGACAGACCTTGTATTTTTCACAAATAAACGAAATATATGACTAGTGCAAATTGAGAACAGGAGGAAGAGAAATGAATATGCATGCAAGATAATCATAAAAGACTGTTGGAATGAGGATGCTTTCAGGGACAAGAAAGAAGAAAGCTCTATCAATATAACTTGAGGAATGAGCACATAAGGTCTGAGTAAGATTAAAAACATGCAGCGCGATGAAACATGTATCAACATCATACCTTGAAAACCTCAGTATCATCCACATATGAGATGTTGATAAGATATTCAAGACCCAAAAGTAGAGCAGAGATATTTTCTTGAGTGGATTCCAGAATTCGGATGTGAACCTGCATAAACAGATAAAAATGTTTATAGTGTAGCACCCATCAAGCATATACATGAAACCTAATATGGAAGCAAAAGAGAAGGAGAAGGAGAGGGATAAGGTGCTACACAATATAGAAAAAGAAATTTGGGCACCACAGTATAAGATACAAAAATAAGGGTCCATTTTTAAATATGCCACCATAAGCATAATATAGCTGACACTGCATAAGAACTACTGTAAGATATATTAGAGAGAAAACAGTAGGAAAGTTATGTATTTGATATTGTGAATTCTTGATCAAAGACATTGATGTACAATTGCTTATATACATGATATTCCTGCACTAACAGCAGTGTTTATCCTACACCCATTGATAACTGGCTTGAGACAGTTACAAATCAGTTTAAGAAGCTGCCTGGCAAAGAGCAGGCAAGGGACAGTTAAGCAATAATAAAGCTAGTTTATGCTCACACATAAGAAAGGTCTAATTCTTCCGCCGGTTCCATTTTGTTTCATTATTATATACTTATATAAGATAAAACCCCAGAAAGACATCAAAAAGGGAGAAAAAAACCCTACCTTGTAAAATAAGGTGAAGAACAGTGCCAAATTCTGTATAAATGCCTAGACATACGGTGCATAAAAAAATCAATGTCAGATCGCAAACAATTCAGTAAATCAAGCTTCTTATTTTTAGAAAATTGCAAAGACTCACTTGTTCCTCGCTTGAACCATGTGCATATGCCTCAGGCATATTTGTAGTAGGAGGGAGTATGGTCTGATGCATTAAACATATTATCATCCCAAAATCAGCCACATAATTTGTAAATTATTTTATACAACCAAAATTGAACAAAATGGATACATGACTACAATGCTGCACGGAGACAAAAAGAAAAATGCAGCATGAGCATGTGGAACAAAATGAAAAGCTGTTTAAATTAACCTTACCTGCAACTGAACCATGAAGATGTTATACATCTTAACATATTGTGCATCATAGAAATTCCCAAATTGAAGGGATGCTACCTGTGGATATAAATTATAAAATATGAATAATAGCCTTGAAAGTTAAAAGTAAATGCAAAAGCACTAGGAACATGGACCATACTTCGGTTAAACATTGCAATGTCAGGTTTCGATATGCTGGCATTGTGAAAAACTTCAGTAATGTCTCGATCTGTAATTAACACAAATACCAATAGGTCTCAGATTTGCTCCATGGCAGCGTAATACTTAATTAAACAGACACATATACCTACCAATGATGATTCAAATATATATCCCAAAGGAATCCAGGATAGGAAAGCATGCAGTGTAGACAGTGTTGCTCGTATGAGTTCAGTTCGTTGGGAAACTGACAACACATATAAGCATAACTCATGTATGAGCTGAAATTCACTGCAAACAACCATGTGTAAATCTTAGCAATGTAAAGGCACTCCATAAAGGGTAAGCATAGACAAATTTCAGTATTACACTGAACTGCTGACAAGCTAGAGCATTTAAAGCCAGAACCAATTTGACAATCAATAATTTAACCCAACAGTTGACATGTTTTCAGCTAAATAAAACCACAACATAGACTTCTTTAGGGAAAAGCTAATTTACATATCTATCATTGTGAAATCAATAATTACATAAATCATTGTCCAGCCCACAGCCCGTGTGGGCTTCCACAGGGCCTATTGTTTCCCACCTCAATGGTACAATTGCCAAACCTCCAAGCCTAAATAAGGGGAAATGAAATAATTCCCAAAAATATCATGTTAGATACAAAAGTTATTAACTGTTACCTATTCAAAGATTGTTTAAGCTCTCTAATTTTCTGCTGAGTCATCTCTCCTCTTGAAAAATCAAAAACCTCTTCGCTCAAAAGCTGAAAGAACATTTCATAATGTTACTTATTGATTGAAGGAACAGAATTCAACAAAAATAAAGATACTTACCTTCAATATAGCCATACAATTCTCACAGATAGTTTCACTAGTTTTAGCTGCTGAAACAAGATCGGGAATAAAGTTTTGCCATCTCGCTGGCCACTCATGCTTCAAAATCTGCATATATGATATATATCGATCATTATATAAAATGTTCTAGCTTACAAAGATTTAGATAGATACCAAAACATCAAAAGTTAACACAGTAATGTTGCAAATCTAGATTTTGAAAGACGATGGAAAAATAAATCCAAATCTCCATATAAATAACAGAAATAAACTGAAGAAATTATATAACTTTCATCAAGATAGATAAAGCAAATGAGCTGAATAACTGTTTGAGAATTACAGGAACAGATCAATTTAAATGATAGAAGGGAAATGCAAGGTCACTTTTACCTGAACTAATATAATATTGAGTTTGTTGACATACAACCGCTCTGTTCGAAATGAGGCCTCGTTGCCAGAAAGCTGTGCAAGATAGGTAAAAATAATGGAATAAAGGATACAATTATTATAAGCATTGATAAAACAACCAACCAAGTCGGACTAGCTCGTGTATCAGATTCCTCCATGTAAGAGATACCTGTACAATAACATCGGAGATGAAGTTTTTCATTCCATCCCGCTGCTCAACTGGTAATGCATTCCATCTATATTTAATTACACCCTCTAGCACCTGATTTACAAGCATAGGGAAAATATATACTGAGAAAGGCAGCTAAGAATAACATTACGGTATCAAAGTAGAGAACTTGTTGGACATTTAATAATCATTACTTCAGAAGCACTGACAACTATGACAGATAAAGGTAAAAAGGAAAAATAAACCATGTAGAGTGAAAAAAAAAAAAGCAAATGAAAACTTGATATGTAAGTACAGAAGTCATAGTAATATCCAACAAAGTGATACATAAATTAGTATTGAATATTGATCTCGCAGCCCATATGTGACTTAGACATTTCTCCCTCCATGTCCGCCATGGATATTTCAGGAGTAGAAAAAAAGAACAGCCGAATCTCAAAGAAGCTGACATTGGTAAAGATAGTGTATCGCCGAAGAGAATTTGGCAATACACTATCTCTACCAATGTCATGAACGAAACATGTACACCAGAAGGCTTAGCGTGGTAGAGAATATATATGGCGTCGGGGAAACAAAATGGAAAGTAATACTGGATTATCGAGTACAAAGGAGGGCAAGTGATTGTTCACATAGCAAGTATTGCATGTCCCCAAAAATGAGGAGGTGCATTATTGTGAAAGAGTATGGTACAAGCTGATTCAACTAAGTGTCGATTCTTTCTCTTAGCAACGTTGTTTTGTTGAGGAGTACGAGCACATGAGGTTTGACGAAGGAAAACTGGTGAAGTCAAAAGATTGCAAAGACATAAACAAATATTCACAGGCACTATCACTTCACAATATTTTGCTATGGGTACGAAATTATGTGTATTTTTTTACCAAAAGGAAATAGGATTACTAGTCTGAGTAATATGTGATGATTTTGTATATGTGCCTTCAGTTGGAGGTACTCATTATACTTTGTCGTAGAAAGGGAAACTTGACCACTAGTCTCAAAGGCTTGAATTTGAGCAATATTCACGACTTTGGGTTGCAATTTACTAGCTTTTGTTTGGCATTGTGCCTCAACTAGACCCAAAAATTTTAATGGCTACAATGAGGTCGAATAAAACTATTTCCACATCCTCCTCCTCTACCACCTCATTGATAAGAATTTGAGACAAGTGCAGTAGAGTCAACTGGCACATTGAGAGAAGCAGAGGCTTGAGCAAAAGCAGAAAGGGCCGAGAGATGTAGCAGTTGCTAGCAAACAATGTCATATGAGGAGACAAGAGCGCTAGACAGAATTTGGTTGCGAGTTGAATCAATGTTTAGTGTAAGACCACCAAGTGTAAGAGCCATAAAGAATTTTCCCCGTTGTTCAACATGTTTGTCGACATTGAATTAAAAGAATGCGAATTATGTTTATGGTTTATTTATGGTACAAAAGTTAATATACTACACCTTATCTATACTAATATTAGCTCTTAAACAGCATTAAATATGGAAAACAATCAAGATAATCACTAGACTCGTATATTCCTAATCAAATAAGGAAACAAAATATGAAATAAGAAAATTAATATTACGATATAATCTAAGATACTCCTGGGATAAGAACAAGATCTGACTGACTGCAGGGGCGCGGGTTCGAACCCACAACATCCTACTTATTCACCTTTAAAAGGATGAAATTCCATCCACAAGGCTAATTGACCACAAAAAAAAAAGTATATGATCCAAAGAGTATAATTTAAGATTGTATTGGTAGGATAAAGTTGTTTACATTAGGACCGTCAAAGGGCCAGCATGATTCTCAGGGACTGTCATGGGACCAGGCTGATTCTTTGGGACTGCCGTAGTCAGAGCCATGCTGATTCTATATGACTGCTAAGGGCCAATGCTGATTCTTTAGGATAGCCACATGACCAAGCTACGTCTGAGATTAGCACAAGGCTTGGCAAAACTTAAGCAAAAAGGCTAGGTTCTTGTAGAAATAGTAGTGGGACTCAAATAGTGCATACAGGTCATGATGAGGACACCGGCCAAAAGAAGACATTGTCACTGTCTGGAAATCAGTGTTTCAATGAGATGCATCATGCATCCAACTGTAGCCGATATAATAAGGTAACCAAGGACTGATAAATCAAGAAGGCAGATTTCTGTTTTGAAATGCAGTCACGTAAAATAGTGGGTTCAAATATATAAAAATGTGGGGGACAAAAATAAAAATAAAAAACTCAGGATAATAAGTGTAATATTTTAAGCCTCAATGGAACATCTACACACAACATGCCCCCATTAACACACACATGAGTCTGCCACTGGTTGTGGTGTCCTTTCCTAATTGAGTGCCACTGGTTGTGGTGTCCTTTCCTAATTGAGTGCCACTGGTTGTGGTGTCCTTTCTTAATTGAGTGCCACTGGTTGTGGTGTCCTTTCCTAATTGAGTGCCACTGGTTGTGGTGTCCTTTCCTAATTGAGTTTGTTTTATTGCATCTATTGCATGTTAAGATTTTATCACCCTTATGAGTTAGTTGATCAATTGAATAGTGACCATATACAACCGATTGGTAAAGCAGTAAACCAGGTTTTGAATCGTGATCATAGACAATTAATTGGTCAACTGGGTTACAATTGTTCAACGACCAAACTTTAACTCTTGTTCATCCAAATATTAAAGTTTGGTCATAATAAATTGAATGATTCCTATCGATCTGATTGCCTATTTAATACAAAGGTTAATCAGTATGATAATTGTCAAGGTTTAAAATAAAGATCCGCAACTACAATTGTGACTGCAGTGTCAAATTGTCAATGTTTTAATTAAGACCTCGCCAATAGCACAATATGACTGCAATTTTCTGCAATATCAAGGACCACTTTGCAATCACAATTTAAAACCATGTAACTATTACGTAATATTATGGGAACAATCTAAACTCTCGTATTACTTGAGCAAGAGGGTACATTTGCTTTTAGGGTGCATCGGGGTTCTCAAGCATAAAACAACAAATAGCTTAAAAACAAACCTGCAAGGCAAAGAACTTGGTATTAAGATTCTGAGTGTTTTGTAAAATATGCATGACTTGAAGCCACATATCAGGATTGTTTTGCAAGTCCCGCAAAATCTGGTCAGCAGCAGTTCTCTGCATTATGTAGAATGTATAATTAGAGACACCAAAACAAATTCACAGTTGAAAATATAAATAAGTAAATAAATAGATAAATTCCTAATAGCCGTTGATGATAAAAACACACAGAAGAAAAAAGAAATAAACCCTAACTCTTAAATTTCCTTAAAGTTTCCCTATTATAAAACATTTGGAAAACACCAAATGGTGATTACACGAAAACAAAGATTCCGACTGAACCAAACCGAATTGATGAGTGAAGTAAAAGCGATAGTTACTGAGTGAAATCGAAGAGAATGTCGAGTATATGGGAAAGTGAAAACGGAGATAAACCTGTTCTTTAGATCCGGTGCCATAGAAGGCAGCGACAGTAGCATCGAGCAAGGGGACGTCAATTGGTTGAGACAAATCTCTGAGTTTCTCGGCGGCCATGGCGAAGAGGGAGAGTGATAAACCCTAGAAAATGAGCGAGGAAGATGAAGGCGATTGTGGGAGGGAGAAAATCGAAAAAGGAAGGGAGGGAAGAAGAAAAGAGAGAAGAAGAGAAGAGAAGGAGGGAGACAAGGTTTTTGGAGTTTTTATAGTGAAAAAATAGCTTGAATTTGAAGCAGAGTTTTTTGAATTTTTGGGAGTATTTCTTAATTTATTAATAATTTTTTTTTCTTTCTATTTTGTTGCATATTTAAAAGAATATCAGTGTTGCAGACAATTTTGTTTTCAAAATGTAATAAAAATATAAATAATAAAATAAAATTAGTTTATTAAAAAAAATTATAATTTTTATAAAAAAATATTTTTAAAATAAAAACAAAAATTTTTATAATTTTTATCAAAATTATTTTATATCAATAATATATATTTTAATTCTTTATATATTAAATTAAAAATGATTTTGAAATAAAAATATTAGTAATATAAATAATTAAAAATTAATTTATTTTTTCTATATTTAAATTCGTATATGATTTTAAATATTTTTATTTTTTTAATTGTATAAAAAAAATGCAATAATTCATGCGTTTGCACGGGTATTAGTGTGGTAGTACACACCATTTTATTTTTAAAATGCAAATAAGATAAACACAATTATTTTACTAAAATAGTTCATTATTTTAAAAGAAAGACATATTTTTAAAATAAAAGAAAGACATATTCATGATATATATTTCAATTTTTCATATATTATCTTTAAAAATATAGTATCTTAAATTAGAAATAATTTCAAAATAAAAATATTAGATACATAAAAAAATTAAAAAATAATATATTTTTTCGTGTTTGAATTCATACATTATTTAAAATATTATTATCTTTATTTATTTATTTGTATAAAAAAAACATAATAACCCATATATTCGAAGAAATTTTGGTCTGGACAGACGTGTGTTCGTATGGGTATTAGCCCATTACACACGTATGTTTCTAAATTGTATAAAAATTATAATAACCAATAAATTCATGCGAATTTTGATATGAATACATGTACGTTTGTATGGGTATTAGTGTGTTCATTATATTATCATTTATTTTGAAGTTTATATAATTGATTCAATTTATAAAGTATTTATTATTATAAAATTCACACAATTAGTAAAACGAAACAAAAAACATATATATTTATATAATATTTTTGTTTTGATGATATATAATAATTATGAGTTGTTTATATTAGCATATAATTTTAATGTTATTTAATTCATACATTACTTATGTATGTTTGTCTATAGTCTTTTACTTATAAATATTTGTCTCATTGATTTCTATATTAGTAACATAAATAATTGTAAAAAATACGACATGTTTCTCATGCTACATTTAAGCATATTTTATTTTTAAACTTCAAAAGAAGAGAAAAACTATATTTGTTTAGTAAAAATTAAAAATATCATAGATAACCGATATTTTTTTCCCTAGTCCAAGTTAAGTTTATGTGTATATTTTTTTTTTTAAATCTTGGAAAATGTAACATGCAATTTTAAGTGATCATTTTAAAATCAAAAAACAAATAATCATTTTATTTTATGTTTGTCAAAATCTTATCAATTTAATTAATGTTTTTTTTTAAATTTGAAATGGAAGAAAATAAATCTTACACCATAAGAGTAAATAGAGTAACCTGAACCACCTATCTTTTTAAAATGATTGGCATTGTCTTATTTTGATAGTACAGTCACACTCCTACACATCAAACAATACATTATAAATGTAAAAAATAGCTATACATCGAACAAGTATATTTTTTCCATCTTTACATTATATGGTATCAAAGGTATGTTTCGAAGAATTTACACAAGAGAAAACCTATCTCATGTCATAGACATCCTTTTGAGTCCTATTTAAGATAAATGATTTTTTGAATTGGATTTCTAGTAAGAAAAAGACGGTGAACATGAATAATTTCTAATAATAACACATGAAAACAAATATGGACAGTTTATTCATCAACTAAAAAAAATAATCTTTTAAAAAGGATAAGTAAAAATGAATTTAACCAATCAACATAAAAGAAAACAGTGTTAAGATTTAAAATTTTAAAATAGACAAATTTAATAAAAGAAAAGTTAAGTTAAAGGGCCATAAACTATACTTATATATACATGTTACTTTCACAATTCACATGGCGATAGATCACCGAAGCAACTCAAAATGCAAATTATCATGACACATTCCTTAACATCACTACAGAAAAAATATTTTCTGGAGTTTACTCAAAATCAAAAGTCAAAGTTGGCTTCTTGTATCTCATTTCCATCCACACAAACGTTGAAAGACATTAGCACTAAGCAGCAACAACATCAAACATATATGAATGTATAATTAGCGAGTCTTTTCTTCAGTCAACCGTTTATACTCGTTCCTCTCCTCCCAGACGCTATTAGCATCGCAATATGGAGGTAAATCTAATTTTTCTGAAGAACGCGTCAAAAACTTACACATAGCAACTGAATCACAAACATATCAGTAACACTGTTTTTCAAATTCAACCAAATAAATTATTAATTCAGAGACAATTTACACATGAATAAATAAAAAAACAACATTGAGTCCCCTCCTGTCATTATTATACTTTTTCACAAGAATCTCATGAGGTGTAGTACTAAAGAGAAATTTAACACATAGATACCTTGCATATATACAATCTGATAAACACTCGGCATAACAAAAACTCAAGACAAATCTTGTAAAGTGGAGGAACGTCAACATATGTGTAACCTTCATCAAATAAAGCTTTCTGAAAATAAAAACCCATTTAATCATTTTGATCTGATATTCTCAAGGGAACAAACTTGTTTTTTCTATTCCATTTAGAAACATATTTCACAGGAAATGCTTGTATAATTACCTGATATTTATAGAAAAATGTCAGTAGCAGAGTACGAATGTGGACACCATTTACATAAGCATGAGTTAAAATGATAATCTTATGATATTGAAGTGCGTCTTTTTTAAAAATCATCTCCCTGAACCCACAAAACATATTTTGAATTAAATAATTATCATGTAACTGCCTCCAAGGCCCTGTAATAGCGTAGGACTTTACTTTTCCGCACTTATACTTTATGCCTTGTATATATATAATTGTGTAGTAATAGGATTGTATGGCAAGATAAAATTAATCGGTAGATAACCTTAAACAATTCCAAGATAACATAAGTGTAACTGAATCACTTTGCACACATACACCTCTAGGGTAATTCCCTCTTTTTTCCTTCGGAAAACATTGGTCATGTCCCTCGAAAATAGGAATACTTTAGCAAAGACCCTTGGTTAAACAATATCACCATGGTCCCTTTCGAATAAAGATCATAATTCGTTGATGATCCTTCGAGTTGCCTACAAAATAATTTAGTCCCTTCGATGACCCTACGAGAAAAATGATGATAGTCCCTTCAAGTTGCTAAAAGTGTCCTTACATGTTGCCTTTTATGACCATACGACAAACCTACGCATGTCCCTTCATATCCAATAGATAGGGATGCCTACCAACTAATGGTGTGGATAATACTATCTCTAATAGAGAGGGAAAATAATAAGAACGACCTTTAGTGGGTAAGACTCAACAAATTGCTTGCTCATAACAATTTCAAAAAAACAAATTAATTTTTACACCTCATGTTTCAAAACAAATATTAAAAAAAACACTTTGTATACATTCTTGAGGACTGATACAAGAATTATTACAAAGTCCGCCTCACAAATGGCATCCAAAATATTTTCAAATCACACATACATGCAAAGCAAGTTTAAAGTGAGCTAAGCAATTAAGAGCCTGTAGATAACTACATATGAAAAGGGTGCTAACACCTTCCCTTTTCATAACTTACCCCCCAAAATAAAAATCTATCAAGGTATTTCCTATTCTTTTTACCCTTTCCTAAATACTGGATAAAAGAAAGTCAGTGGCAACTCTTGCTAACCACAACATTTACGATAAAATGCTAAATAAGTCAATTCTCCCACCGTATTACAAGAAGTCATGAGATCAGGCTTGAAGAAGATGAACCTCATAAAAAAGTTAAATATATGGCTTTGAAGTCTAAGTCTGGAAAGACAAAGGCTTTTCAAGTTGAAGAAGAATCAGAGGATCTAAAGAAGATTCAGACTTAGATGAACTCTCTCTAATATCCTGAAGGATAAGCCAGATATGGAAACATAGACAAAGCAAGTTCGGAGGATTAAGAAAAACAAGTGGTAGATTTGAATTTACATCTGGTCAGAAGAAAGCTTATGGAAAAGAATTTACATGTTATGAGCGCAAAGAGCCTGGACATTACAAGAATGAATGGCCAAAGCTCAAAAAAGACAAGAAGCCCAAGAAGGTATTTAAAGAAAAGAAGGGTCTCACGGTAACATGGGATGATCTAGAATCATAAGAGGAAGATTCTGATGAAGAACATGCTAACGTGGCACTCATGGCCAATACAAGCACAAATGAAGTTATCTCAGAGTGTGAGCTGACAGCTGATGATGAGTCAGACTTTGAATACGAAACAAAGGTAATTGCTTTTCTCTCTCGTTTTGAAATTGAATCTTGTTTATCTGAAATGATGAGAAAATATCAACTTCTTCTAAGTAAACACAAAACTCTAAAGAAAAAGTTTCTCTAAAGAAAAAAAACTTTTTTAGTTACTTCTGAGAACTCTACTGAGAATGAGCAAAACTTTTATGATTTAAATGGAAAATTATTTGTTTTAGAAAAAATCAAATCTTGCTCTTAAAATTATTGTCTCTAGGTTGGAAGAAGAGATTATTTCTACCACATCTGTTACTGATGAAGTAATCAGATATGATAGAGCTTTTCAACATTTCTTAGCTAAAGGCATATATAGAAGCAAGATGACTTCAATGATCTATGGTGTTAGTAGAAATGGAAGTAGAGGCTTGGGATATTCAGGACCATAAAAAATAATTAATGAGACTCTGAGTGTCAA